CATTAGAGAGCAGTGCAAAATTCAAGATATTGTAAGATGGGGAAGACAGCGCAAGAGGATGTGGTACAACCATGTAAGACGAAAGGATGAGAATAGACTCCCAAAAATTGCCCTAGAAAACAATCCGCCTGGTTCAAGACCCCCCGGAAGACCACCTAAAAGATGGAGGAATAGTTGGCAATCTACCTCCCAAGAAATTAACCAGAGGCAGCTTCAGAATTAAACAGATCGAAAGATCTACAAAAAGTAGAAGAAGAAGAAGAATATATCGTTGAGAGCTCGTGTCACTTAATGTTTTTTTTTTCGGAGTCAAGTAAAATTTAAGGATGACGTTGTAAAAAAAATACAAATTTCACTTAAAATTTGGTAATTTTTAGCTATTAGGAAAAGTAATTAAACAGGTCAATTTATTTTTGAGAAGAGCTCCCTGCATTATCTATAATTTATTGGTTTAGGTACTGTATATATAAAAATATGACGTCATCGACATTTTCCTTAAATGACAGTACAGTAGAGTCTTCTTATGCACATTTATATGTTATACACAAGCCTCAGTTCATAAAGTATTATAAAATAAACGCATTACATTAACCCACAAATACATTACCTACTATTTATAGAAACTTCTTCTTATCGTATCTATTCGTTTCGAAAGTTGGTGATCTGCACGATTATTCCAATTTTGCTTACTGCTATTCCGAATAATACGGTTGTAGACGTATTAAACCACTTTCTCAGGTTTTAAAGCCAAGACATTCTTCGTCTTCCTGGCCCCTGTTTCTAAATACCTTACCCTAAAGAACGAGTTGCAACTAGCGATATCTCTATTCATTTCTCATAACATTACCAAGATATTATAATTTACGCTCTTTGATTGTATTAACAATCTCGCATTCCTTGTTAATTCTACGAAGGACCTCCACATTAGTCACACGATCTACCCATGATTTTTTTATCATGCATCTGTAACGCCACATCTTAAAGATCTCGAGTTTTCTTAAAGAAGCTTCAGAAAGTGTCCAGTCCTTTACTCCATTTAATAACGTAGAAATATAAAGCATCTACTGATAAAGATTTTGTCACCAAAAAGAGAACGTCTCTATGAACGTTAATCTTGCTTTTCCTGAGCGTTGTGTTATTCCAGTAGAGTGGTCTTACTGGCTGTTTTTGTTGGGAGCAAGGTACGTGTAGCTCTTTACCCGGTGAATTTGTTTATGGTTAACCAAAAACCATAAATTTATTATTTAGAGCTTACTGACTACCAAACAGTTTGTTTTTTTCATATTGATATCAAGTTCTAGTATTTTACTTATATCTGATATGAGCGACATTATTCTTTGCAAACCATCTAAGCTATTTTTAAAAGCTATTGCGTGTTCGGCGTATTTATTATTGTTTAGGCACACTCCGCTGAGAATACACCTTTCTGTAGTTCTTCTAGTACTTACTGAAATATATATTCGGAGTATATGTTAAATAACACTGACCACAGAATGCGCCCTTGTCTCACTCCTGTACCTAGGGAAATTGCCTGTATTAACTAGTTATACACTTTAATGTTGGCAATTTGGTAGTAATATAAATTTTACACGATTCTCAAGTCTTTATCATCTAGGGCAACTTCTTTCAAAGTCGTTATGAACTTAGTATGTCTTACTCTATCAAATGTCCTTTTTTTTGTTGTCTATAAAACAAATATATTCGTCACAGTTGACATATCTGCACCTCTAGTAAATAGAGCCTTTTGGATGCCTAGTGCATCGAGGATTTCAAATCGTGTTTATGACACTTGTTCTGTTTTATATAGGTATTGTGCTTTGTATCAAGTTTAAACACATTCTAAGTAACTGGCTCATTAGGCTTATTGTTCTGTAGTCTTCGTATGTTTTTGCATTTACTTGTTTGTCCTAGTTACAAAGGTCGACTTAGGGGATTTCTACAGTAACATATATTTTGTTAAATATAGTTGTATTTTATTCCCTGTTCATCCATAAGTTTTAGTAATGCTGCTCAAAATATATCCCTACAGATTTGCCATAGTTGGCTTTTTTATTAGATGTAATGATGTCTTAAATGGTAATTGGGGTTTTCTTTTGTATAACGTGTCTTCAATGGTATTCTGGTTTTATCTGTGAAAGTTACTCTCACCTACTTTTTTTAAGTACCATCCTTGGTTATCTGTCAAACACTCAACTCTTCTAGGCTTGTTTAAGGCTGCATCTTCTTTAACTTATTTGGGCATATTGAAGTTAATCGTGTTTATGGTTGCAATAGCAATAGCTCTATTTTCTCATATTGTCTTCCTAGCCATATATCCTTAACCATTTATTCTAGTTTTTTAAATCCCTTTATCTATTCTGTTATATAGTGTCGTGTCTTGTTTTTAGAACCTTCGCCCCTCCTTTATTATATCTAACATCCACGATCTTTTTCTATTTTTGTTGGTTTAAAGAATTTCTCTTGTATGTATTGTGAAACGTAACGATAGAAAATGTAAACAAGAACTAGAAACAGTTTTTTTTTTAAATTTTAAAATGGAAAATTTCAGTTTAAAAAAAAATCGGTTACATCATTTCATGATCCACATAACATGGCATAGGCTACTCTATGTTTGCTACTTTTTTTCTATTGAAAAGAAATGTGGAGGAGATTTTTATATTTTTTTAAATTTTATCAGAAGACGAAATATTTGAGCGTCCATTCGATTTCTTTAAAACATATTCTTTATAAAATCATGAATGTGTTGCTTATGTGAGTCCATTTCAACAAGGTAAAAGAAATAATAAATAAGGCTTACTGACAATCAGTTTAGTTTAACTATCTAGACGACCGGTCGCTTTCTATAATATGCAAAGCATCTTCAGGTCTATCGATACAAAGTTAATTAAATGCTGAAATAATAAAACCCATATTAGGGTGTTGTCTTATACAGATAAACAAAATCTTATCTTTATAAGACAACACCCTAATGTACTTTAAAGTAACCAAATTATACATATGTTATATTAAATGTTTAAAATGTCATCCATCGGTTTCTTGAGAATATGCGAATCTACGGACACATTCATCAAGTACATTGAGGATGACTTCTGGAGTAATTAGAGTCATTTCATGCCTAATTCTATCTTTCAAGTCCTGTAAGTTTTGGGGTCTATTGACATAAACTTTTGATTTTATGTAATCCCACAGGAAAAAGTCTAGAGGTGTTAGATCTGGCGACCTTGATGGCCACTCGATAAAACTTCGTCTTCCGATCCACCTCCTGGGAAAACAATGATTTTGACGTACTTCACGTGCGTAATGCGAAAGTGCTCCATCTTGTTAAAACCAGATATTTTTACTAGGTAAATTTGGATTATTGGCATTTGGATACATGTTAGCAAGGGCAGGTATAAGTTGGTTTCTCAAAAAAGTTAAATAACGTTCTCCTGTTAGATTTCCTTCAAAGAAAAAAGGGCCAACGATTCTGCCATTAATGATCCCAGCTCATACATTTACTTTCTGAGGATATTGCGTGTGTGACTCAGTCATCAAATGTTTTCTTGACTCCAATATCTGCAATTTTGACAATTCACGGTACCATGTATAAAAAATGTGGCTTCATCGGAATTTGATTGATGAAATGTGGATTGCGGATACATAAATCCTGCAGAATTTCAGAAAATTAAAGCTGGCGATCGGGATCGTCGTCGTTTAATTTCTGATGTAGTTGAATTTTGTACGGACGGTATATTTCTTTTTTTTTAATACGTAATACCGATCGTTGGAAAACTTTAGCATATTCACCCATTTGTGTTGAACTACTGTTGTGAGGATTGTCATGTACATTTAATAAAATATCAAGTTTCACATTATCTTCAATTTTAGGACGCCCAGCCTTTGGAATATTTAACGTGCCCAGTTTCTCCAAATTTTCAGACTATTTTACTTACTGTTGCGTTGAATAAATTGCATAGCTCGTTCTGTGTTCTTTTTTATGTCGGCATCTGCTAAGAATTAATATTTGCATTGTATTTCATTTAGATGAGCCATAATTTAGTATTCAAAAGTAAAAATTACAATTGACAATTGATGGCAATTCACAAAATCAAAACATTTACGTGTATAAATATTACAGTAACTATGCCACTATCACTTACTTGAATTAACATTTGACAAAAAGTTTCAGTGTTTATGAGATAACTTTTTGGGTTTATTATTATTTTTACTTATTTTTGCTTTTTTAAGTATTTACTTTAGAATTGATGACAATTTACAGAATTAAAACATTCACGTTAATAAATATTACAATAACTATACAGCCATTACTTGCTTGAATTAACATTTGACAAAAAGTTTCAGTATTTATGAGATACCTTTTTGTGTCCATTATTTTTATTTAAATTGTAATGCATAATTTGGTTACTTTAAGGTACATTATAAATTAAATCATTAGTTGTAATTTAGCTGAATTTAAATTCAAAAAAATTGTTTTTGTACCCTTAAAAAATATTTTAGTTAAAAATGTAATGTTGTTAAATAGAGAATTGAATTCTTCTTTAAATGAGGTGTCGCACTAGACCAATTTCTATAAAAAAAATTAACGGTTATGTCAGTACACCCACACCGGTGATGTCAGTTCTACTCCATGTACGTAATATGGTTATTTTATAACAAAAATCGACCTGTATCGAAATTTCTCTCAAAACTCGACGGTCCTCGAAATATTGGTAATATTCCATAATTTAGCGGTTCATTGTATATTATATTATAGGTTACCATATATAATAGGTAAGACTTTTGTTTTCTATCCAATTTTTGTCCAATATTACTTCACCATCAATTTTGTCTGTATTGTTACCAATTTCTATAGTAGTAATTACTTATTATGTTATGACCCTAATATTTAAGTGGGTTTTCAGATAACTTTTTCAGTTCTATACCATTTTAAATCCCTCTAAACTGTGATATTATCTTATTTGTCCAATTTAATAAATTAAATATGTTTTTATCTATTTTAGGTTATGTTAATATCGACCGAACAATTGGTTTTGACTTTCCAACAACCTTGTTAATTTTAAGTGACCTGGCTCGCCTGCATGGAGTATCCTTAGCATTAAAACTTAAATATCCAACAAGATTCGAAGAAAAAATAAAATGCTACTGTGTGCCCTTTAAGCCCTCTCATCAAGATTTACTTCCAATTTTGAGACGAGTTGTCGCAGAGAACGAAGAAATCGCCCATTTGGCTCCAAAAATATTACCGTGGGGTACACATCCAAGGTCACCTAATAATGAACCTTTTGTTTCCCTAATACATGCTGATACGTGGACTAATAATACCTTACAGAAATTCGAGAATGGTGAAGCAATTTCGAATAAGTTTGTGGATTTCCAAATATTTCAATATGGATCACCGGCAGCTGATGTGTTCTTTTTTTTATTTTCTTCCGTACCGCAAGATATACTAGAACCTAATTTAGACTATTTTTTAAAATACTATCATACCGGTTTAGTAGAAGTATTAGAAGATCATAAGTGTAGTAGTGCTGAGTTTGGTTTTGAGAGATTCATGCAAGAAATGGAGTCCGTTTCTTTCTACGAATTTCCCCATTCATTTCTTTTCCACACCTTATTTGTAAATGCCCGAAAAGGTGGCCATGATTTGGAGAACCTTGACGAAGATCAAGTTTTTAGCGATATCCCTTTGAAAGTTAAACAGAAGTCGTGGTATATGGTAAAGGAATGTAGTAGGCGAGGTTGGTTCAAATAATGCACTATCTAGAAATGTTGGCTTTTTAAGAACTTATTTTATTAAGTTTTTAGTAAAACTTTTACTTCTTTCTCTAATTCTTTATTCTGTTCTTAAATCAAAAATATTTTTCCAAATTCGGACACAAGTTACTAATCATTATTGGCATCTTTATTTTGTTGCGTTGTTACGATAAGATTTTTAATGAAATATATATTTTAACGCTTCTTTGGGACATAGAGGAGAGTTCCCATTATTGTACCACTTAAATTTTGAATTTTCTTCTTCTTCTTCAAGTGCCGTCTCCATCAATGGAGGTTAGCGGTTATGGTGGCAAACGTTTGTCTATCTTCAGCTGCTCTTAAGAGTTCCTCAAATCCAAGTCCTGTCCAGTTTCTGATATTACGTAACCAGGACAATTTTTTTTCTTCCAATTCCTCGCATATATATTCCTCGCTTTTGAATTTTAATTTGAATAATATCAGTCATATTTGGCTGAACGATATATTAGGATAAATAATAAACATTTACACACATATAGTAATTTTTGTAACTGGATAACATTGATTTTACTGCTAAAAACATGCTTTTCTGGTAGGTTGCAAGTGGTACAATTTCGAAAACTAGTTGCCTTTATTGTACCGTGGGTTTCCTTAATTATACCCGTAGTAACCTATATAGAAGGATCCGTGTATAGTATAATAAATTTTATTGTATTTTTGTGTCAATATTGTATAAGTGTGAATACCATTAATCATGTTTTGTTTAATAAAAAATACATTCAAAGCAAGAAAAAGTTTGGGTTTCAGGTTGGTCTCCTGCACAAAGTTCGTGGCTCCATAAACGCCATTGGTACATTGGATCATGTCTTCAATTCTTTTTTTCCTGCAAATTGAATATAACACTCTTTAACACACATCTCTTTAACAACCTCAGGTTGATTTGACCTTGACGCGGCATTAGAACAGACTCTGTAGGATTATCACATTTCTTTTTTTGTGACGTTTTTCTTGACTGCTTCTTTGTTCCTTTTAAGACTAGTTTTACCTTCTAGTTTTATTTTTTGAGCACTTTCAAATTTCTTGGACGATTTCGGTTTAGCCTTTCCCAATTTCATTTTTATTTGTTTTACCTGTTCCTGCGCTAACTGTAGCTCCCGTCAAAACCATTGCCTTTTGTGCTGTTCCCTTCTTGTATTTTGGATGAGGCTTCGGTATCAGGGAAATTAAATCTATTGAAATGTTATTTTTGGGCTTGCTTCGTAAGTTTTTTTAGTAGGCCTAGTGGGTGTAGTAGTCGTAGGTAAACTCTCCTTAGGACAAGGTGTTCAGGCCAGATTATTTCGTGCTATATATACCCTTCTGTTGTAGAACTAAGTGGTTCCTTGTTTGTCTCATTAGGCTCTTGATTTTCAACGTCTTCCCGGATATCACTGCCTTCATGCTCATTTAAATTTTCAGCCCCACAAAAGTCATAATATTTTAAGACCATGCGATCAACAGGCCATACTCCACTAGTTCGGAAAGCATTGACTGCAATTTCAATGCTTGCTGCTCTTCCTAAGCTTCAGAAATCAAGCCAGCTACGTGAACTTGTGTATCACATAATCCGGGGTTAGAACGAAGCCACTTTTCAACTGATTGAGTGTAGTATCCTTTACTGAAAGGTTTAAAGAATGATCTATCCAAAGCCTGCACGCGGTGGCTCGTATGCCCAGGCAATTATAGCATTATAAAACAGTGCTCTATAGCAAGTAAAATTGCTTCAAGATTCTTATAGTGCGTTGTATGTCCATCCAGTATCAAAAGAACTTTTTTTTAATTGTTGGATTCACAGAATCAATAAAATGTTGGAGCCATTTTACAAAGAAATCACTGCTCATGTAGCCTGATTCTGATATCTTAACCGTACTTCCTGGTGGAGCCCCAACACTCAATTCATTGTTCATTCGCATACTTTTAAATATAAGCATATGTGGTACGTACATTACTGAAGCACTTGCACAGCACGTGTTGACTCCACGTTCTCCACTGGACACTGACCCAACTTGCCTGTTTCTTTTTTGTGCCAGAACCTTTTGGAATTTGTTCTGCAGAGTACTGGCGCCCATTTCGCCAACGTTAAATATGGGAGTTGCGTCAATATGATTCTCATCAACAATTTTTTTCAGACGGTCCAAAAAGGCGTAAACATTCCTTTTATTGAATCTATTTGCGCGCATCATGGACGTTGCTTGAGGTTCTCTCAGTGAGATTATGACATTATAGTCAGCTTTGAAAGCATAAAACCCCTTCTTTCCTGCAATTTGTAATTCTTTATTAAAATTATGTGGTATTTGATTTCTTTTCACTAGTTCAAACGCAAGCCGTCGAACATCATTGATCGTGAGGCCAAACATCAACGTGTCCAGTTTTAAAATGTGATCAATTATATCCTTCTCCATTGCTGTTGGTAATACACTGCCACGGCCAAAAGCCTTCGTTTCTTCATTTGCCTTGACATTGGTTTCACTAAGATGACGGAGCAAGTTAGGTTTAGGGACTCCATACTGCCTACAGCATTCATTTAATCCCATGTCCCCACTACGAAATGTCTGAAGAGCCCGGCTCATGTCATCCACATTCCAATTCCCATATTTTCCTTTCGGCACCTAAAACACACAAGAACGGTGTGTGTTATTTATTTTTGAAAATAAGTAGGTATTAAATACCCAAATAATAGGTGATATCTTAAATTGTACCGGTACAATATAGGCAACTCGGCGTGGTACAATATGGGAAACTTGCACTTAACGTAAATAAACTACGAATCCTAACCTAAAAATGACCCTGTAAAGGAAAATAACTCAGTTTTATATACCTACATACATGCTTTTCTTGTAATTAAGAGTTAAAACGGTTTGCACGTATCTTTACAAATATTGTAACCTTACGTATGGAACTAGAAAACAATACTGAAACACCATAAAATACCAAAAATCGACAAATGTGAACGTTGTGAAACTTTAGCATTCAACTCTAGGAAGTGACTAGTTCGACAAAATGACAAAAAACGCTCTGGATTCCTTATAAAGTATAAATACAGCGGTGGTACAATATTGGCGCCGGTACAATTTCGGCTACTTTCCCCTATGTTACTGGACAAAGTCATGTTATATATTTTCTTCTTTTTGCAATTTTTTGAGCGCTATCTCTCATTGAGTATCATGTTGATTACCATATTTATTAATATAATTTTGTTTTGTTGAAATCAGCTCGAAATAAGTAAGTTACTGATTTTTATTAGTATGAGTCTTTTGAATCATGAATTTTTTCCTTCCGCTTATGTAAGTCATGATTTCATTTTTAAGATGCTTTTTCCATTATTATGTGTAATAATTTATGTTTTTAAGTGACATATCGTCGGGTCTATGAAATATTCTAATTTAAGTTACTTAATACTCTTGGCTATAGCAAGTTTTGGCTGTTATCAGTCGGGAATTTAGAATGACTTTATTTCCCTTTTTTGTTTATTTTTATCATTTCTCTACATATTTACATTTTTAATGTTTCTAAATCGTAATAGTTATTTTAGTAAATGCCCACAAATTTGTGAATACAACATGAGTGGAAAGATAAATAGAATTTTATCATTCGAATTTTTAGCTTATTGATATTACTTTCTATATAAGGTTGTCTGCTTTCTCCAAATCTGAATTATAAATATTGATGCCATATCATTCTTATATATTTTGTTCACTTTTGCTTCCTTTTGGTTTAATGTATTTAGTTCAGCATATAATAGAGTATAGTAAATATAGTTTTATGTAGTATATATATTACCTACTCCCTACGTTTGGATACTACTCTAGGTAGGATAAAATTAATTTTATTTTCTACAATAGTTTGTTTATTATTCTAATAATTATTATTATTCTCACTCATATATCTCACTATTTTAAAGACATACAATCAGCATGGAATGCCTTCTTTCTGCTACATTGTATCTTCTACGCCTCTCAGTTCTTATGATTCAAAATATTCAAACCCAACTACCCTTAACGCCACTTCGTTTTTGCCTTCTCAAATAGAAGTACGTAAGTCAAACCTTTTTTTTTAGCTTCTCAAATAAAAGCAAGTTATAGTTCTTTTCACGCTTCTTAAATAGAACCAGTTTTTAAATATCTTATTTTATTAAATAGTTAATTAACTATATTAAATTCAGTGTCTATGCATCGAATATGTCAGTACCTAAAATATTATTCTTTTATAGAGAAGAGAATCTACAGTTTTTGTGCCAGCATTTCATAAATGCCGGTCCGACAAATTACAGGGTTGCCGGATATATAACAAACATAAACTTTCTTGTTCTATAACTCACAATTTTGCGACCTATTGGTCGCTGGTCCTTCGAGGTTGTATTTATTTTGTATCTACCAAATGTATAAAGGTGAGACTATAATTTTCCAAATATTTACTTATAAATCATCGAACCAGCTACCTCATTCTTTACCCTACAAACTCCCTACGTTTGGATCTACAAGACCGTTTGCTTTTGTTTTAATTTTTTTTATTTCTGGCCTGCAAAAAACTTTAAATACTTGGAGTAAAGTTAAGTAATATTCGTATGTATTACCGTCTGGCTGAGGTCTAGTGTTCGGGTTTTCAAGTAGCGTAATAACCCTCTTAAGCATGGCCTCTGTTAGTGTCAGTACCGGAAATCGAACTCGGCAATACATATTTTAGGCTTATAAGCTACGGCCGCCAACAATAAGTATATTTATAATAATACCATAGCAATCAGTTATTTTAGAAAAAAAACATAGTAGATGATCATAATTATAATATGGGTGTCAAGAAAAGAAAAAACAGAGTGAATTCGTATAACTGAGAAAAGAAAAATTTCTTGAACATCTGTTCAAAAATCTTTATTAGTTGTTTAATTTATTTGTTTTAACTTATTTAATTAACATTTTTTTTTATTTACTAGGTACTTCAACAGTAAATGTTTTTGTTTGTATTTACTTCAAGTTATTTACGAAATTTATGTTATTTTACTTTTATTTTGAATATAATGATGTTGTTTTTATACACTTTTTCAAATAAAGGATGTATCATATAGTTTTTATTAAACATTAGTTCACAGATTAATTGTAACACATTAAAATTAAATCGTTTTAAAAATATTTATTTTATTGCTACGAATGATTATTAGTGTAGATTGCTTTAAAAATAAGTGAATGGCTAAATAACAATTAAATATTTAGTTTTCACTTAAAGGGATTAACACTGTTTATCACGAAAACAAATGATTTTATGTTTTTGGCCTAAAAATGAAATTCCTAAGGAAATAGATTATTAAGATTATAAAATATTGACAATTTAGTTTATGGTATAGTATAAAAACTATACCATAAACTACGTCATTTTTTAACCTTTATGTCGTTTATTCCGTAAATATTTTTTTAATCGTTAAAAACTCTGTTCCTAAGAGTCTTTAAAGTACTTCCTTAAAGTACTATTCTCATTCTTAAATCCCCCATTGCAGCTTATGCAGATTTAGACATACGACTCACGCTGCCTCTAAGTAGAAAATTCACACAGCAAAAAGACTTACGGTATCAAAATTATTTAGCTCTGATAGGACTTTTTCCGCATTATCGAGCCCTAGGTGACATGGTACGTCCGAGCATCTCCCAAAAATTATCTTACGCATCTAGATGTTGAGAGCAGTATGCTATCTGTGTGGTCTTATAGAAAGTTTCATCAAGTCGTAGTTGTTTTATGTTTTCTAAGCAGTTCTTCAGAATAACTTAAGTAGTAGAGAGAATAGTAGGTCTCGTCTGAGTACATTTTCTATTGTCGCCCTATTATTTGTAATTCTAGACATCTGTACTTAATAATTTTTAGGGATATTTAATACGTAGATTATTATTGTATAGTATCGCCACATCTATTAGTGTGTCTCTTTGGCAAGTTTATTAGCCAATACCGCCAGTATTAGCCAATTCTTGTTTTGGTCCCGCAATTAAGGACTACAAGGTTCTATCTAACTGTTTAAAGTTTTTAAAAGTACACTGGCAATTTCGGAACTTCTTTTTTTTGCAACTGACTCTGTTCATGTAAACATGACCTTGCCCAGATACACAATAATGTGCCAACTGCGCCAACAGTCAATGAAGTTGTGTTGCAAGCCAAATGAATCTTTGTCTATGTTGTGAATTTTTTCATGTTTATTAATTTCGTCTTTAAGGTTTTGCTGCATTGCCTGTGCGTGAGTTTGATGTAAGCTTAATTTTACTTGGAGATTCTTAGGCTCAAATTAATTATCGTTATCTAAACTTATCATTAGCTTTAGTAAATCATAGGTTGAACATGTATCGCTTATGAGCATTTTAAAACCTTGGTTGTACTCTAAGTTAAAAATTCTTTGGTGCTGATCCTCTTTAGCTAGAATAATATTACGCTCTGTACACCATGCTATGTAGTAATCCTTAAACAGGCTTGAAACATTAACGTTGTAATTTATATGGACTCTGTTAGGATTAGAGGTTCTACCTTTGGCTAGCATATTTATGGATAATTCTAATGTGGTAGTGAACTGATTGTATCATTTCTGGGCCAACCTCGTTCAGTCTATTGTGATGTCTACCTCTTTGATCGTTTTTTGGTGTTGCTCTTTCTTCAGATAAAAACTCCTTTACATATCTAGGCATCTATTCGGTTTAGTTTTACAAAATACAATTTTTTAAATTTTCTTGTTGACTTGATCTTGATTAATATCTGCAGTTGCTCTATGATATTATCGCATCCTAAAAAAATACGTACTTTAGTCAAGAATGGCCTAAGCCAACTAGTACCTATATAAAATATTATTTTGGTCTTAGAACCTGTTATTTACAACCGAATCTAAATAAAATATAATGTGATAGTGGCTCTTAATAATTAAAAAATATATATAAACAAATTATTTGTTACTACGTTTTACTAAAAAAGTAAATTTAATATTATTACAACTTATTAAGACCCAAGCCCCATATCCTACAGGTAAAAAGTTCTCAAACTACCAAAATATCTGTTTTTCTTTCAGTATGTATATATATATATATATATATATATATATATATATATATATATATATATATATATATATATATATATATATCTGTGTATATTGTAAAAACTACGACCGTCAATTTATATTAATAACGTATTCAACTAGTGAATTCAGAGGTTTATTCGGTCAGTCAGGTTGGCAAAATAAAAAACAGAAGTCAACTACTTCATAAGTTTATAGGAGACGTTTTGCTTTATTCTTCTAAAGCTTCATCAGTTCTCTAAATACAAAGATGACATAGAGTTTATAAGAAATACAGATCTAATAATTTATTACTTACAACTCAATATGTAGTACTAAAGATGTTATCGTATATGTACTTAAATTTAGTCATAAATTTAGAACTAACTTAAAAAAAATTAAACAGAAACATGCAAAAAATAACATTCGCAGAAACGAAGATTTACAAAAACTTTAAACGTACATTTGGCTTCATTTAGAGATGGTTCTCCAATGAAGACAAACAAAACACTGATTTATTGCAATCTACTCAAAACGACGTGGCGCGATACCGAAAATTTTTTTCAAGGGCCATATGTTCAACAAATTCCAAGGTTTGAGACAATTATGAACTTTTACGGGGGTCATTGAAAGAATAGTTGGACAGGTGGATTTGTAACGGAAAAATTTGATATGATTTTTTTTTTGTAATTTATGTTTTAATGAAACTTAGAGCTCTGGGATGATTATGTTATTGTTTTGAATGGAAAATACGGCTATTTTAAATTATGAATATTGGTATTATTTATTTCGTAAGATGAGAGAGTGGTAAACCTGGCTCAAATTGTCAATGTCGGTTCTTTTGTTTATTGCAGATGGGTTTTTTAGGATCTCACACATTTCAATAAAGGAGCGTTTTTGATGGTTATTTTGTTTGTCCAGTATTTTAGTATTTGAGAAGTCAATATGATGTTTGGTGGAAATGGCGGGGAAATGTGCAAGGGCACAAGAGGGTTTGGAAAGTCTAATGTCGCTTTTATGTGAAGTTACACGCCCTAGAAATGAACGACTGGTTTGGCCAATGTAGCAGGAATTGCATTCAGAACAGGGGATTTGATAGACAACATTAGTGTGCTCTAACTAGCTTAGTGGAGTTTTGGACTTGGAGAATAACTTTCCAATGGTTTTAGTGTTTTTTAGGGATATTTTGACGGGTAAGTTTTTGAATAGTTTAGTAAGCTTGTTCGTAATTTGTGGGAAATATGGAAGAGAAGCATATTTTGTGGCTGGTTTTGGGGTTAGCGGGGAATTGTCAGTCTGTAAGCTATTGGATATGGAGGCTAGTATTGCACCGTTAGGTGCTTCAGAAATAGAATGACCGTAGCTTTTAGAGAAAAGATATCTGTTAATGATGGATATGGGGTAAGAGTTATCAATGAGGATGGATTTGAGTAAATCCAAAGATTCCCTCTTGTACCGCGTATGGGTCAACGTGTGTACTCTAAAGCTAAGAGCTTGTACAAGGTTAAGTTTGTATCTCATCGGGTGTGTAGAGTGGTAGTTTAAGAACCGGTTACTCGCCATTTCTTTCCTGTACCACTTAGTGCTCAATATGTTGCTATGTGTGCGTATGATTCGCATGTAAAAAAACGGTATGCTGTTATCAACCTCCAATTCAAATGTAAATTGAAGGTGAGGATCAACGCTGTTGAAGACTGATAAGGTGCTGACAATTCCCCGCTAACCCCAAAACCAGCCACAAAATATGCTTCTCTTCCATATTTCCCACAAATTACGAACAAGCTTACTAAACTATTCAAAAACTTACCCGTCAAAATATCCCTAAAAAACACTAAAACCATTGGAAAGTTATTCTCCAATTCCAAAACTCCACTAAGCTCGTTAGAGCACACTAATGTTGTCTATCAAATCCCCTGTTCTGAATGCAATTCCTGCTACATTGGCCAAACCAGTCGTTCACTTCTAGGGCGTATAACTTCACATAAAAGCGACATTAGACTTTCCAAACCCTCTTGTGCCCTTGCACAACACGCCATTTCCACCAAACATCACATTGACTTCTCAAATACTAAAATACTGACCAAACAAAATAACCATCAAAAACGCTCCTTTATTGAAATGTGTGATATCCTAAAAAACCCATCTGCAATAAACAAAAGAACCGACATTGACAATTTGAGCCAGGTTTACCACTCTCTCATCTTACGAAATAAATAATACCAATATTCATAATTTAAAATAGCCGTATTTTCCATTCAAAACAATAACATAATCATCCCAGAGCTCTAAGTTTCATTAAAACATAAATTACAAAAAAAAAATCATATCAAATTTTTCCGTTACAAATCCACTCGTCCAACTATTCTTTAAATGACTCCCGTAGAAGTTCATAATTGTCTCAAACCTTGGAATTTGTTGAACATATGGCCCTTGAAAAAAATTTTCGGTATCGCGCCACGTCGTTTTGCGTAGATTGCAATAAATCAGTGTTTTGTTTGTCTTCATTGGAGAACCATCTCTAAATGAAGCCAAATGTACGTTTAAAGTTTTTGTAAATCTTCGTTTCTGCGAATGTTATTTTTTGCATGTTTCTGTTTAATTTTTTTTAAGTTAGTTCTAAATTTATGAGTAAACTAAACTACATATACGATAACATCTTTAATACTACATATTGAGTTGTAAGTAATAAATTATTAGATCTCTATTTCTTATAAACTCTATGTCATCTTTGTATTTTAGAGAACTGATGAAGCTTTAGAAGTATAAAGCGAAACGTCTTCTATAAACTTATGAAGTAGTTGACTTCTGTTTTTTATTTTGCCAACCTGACTGACCGAATAAACCTCTGAATTCACTAGTTGAATACGTTATTAATATATATATGTATATATTATATATTATATATATATATATATATATATATATATATATATATATAAGAAATACTGGATATTATTGACTGTCAATATAAACAAACAACACAGTTTATTAGGGTTGCAGTCAGAATTATTGGCCGGGATGTTAAAAAAACACTCTTTTGACTTTTTGTCG